TATGAAAATTTCGATCTCGAAAAGAATTGACGACAAATTCAAATCAGAATTTTTATCCTTTAGTAGATCAATAAATATGTATGAATAAAATACGTCTAAATTTCATTGTGTGTGTACAATCAGATTTAAAATCACCATTTCCAACACTTGTAATCAATTAGTAATTACCATGCCAATGTATAAGAGACTTGATAAGTTCACATCCATCCAATTTATTGTTATTATCTGCATCATGCATTTTAAAATAATGAAATTGTAATTCTTGCTCAGACATTTTGCTTGTGTCTAATGTTGGTATATCTAAATGTTTTTTTATGTGCCTAAAATAAGGTAATATTATTAAAAAAAGCACTAATTATATCATAAGAATAAACAGTTTACTATTTGTTAGAGATTTTAAATTATATTTACTCGCTTTCTTCTGCTAAATTTGGATTATGTAATACTTGTTGTGCATGGGGTTGATGTCCTTGGGAACTGTGACCATGATTCTAAAATATTATTAAATATCATAACAAATTATTGAACAGTTTTATCCCATATATATTCGCATAGATTATTTATATAACTTATAAAAAATATATAATTTTTCTTATTTATATCTATACTTATTTCATCTACTATGATTAATTTAAATATTTTATTGTGTAAATTTGGTACCTACCAATGGTGGTTGTTGTTGTTGTTGTTGATGATGTTGCTGCTGCTGCTGAGGCGATGGCGGTGAAGGCGGTTGCTGTTGATAAGGTACTTGGTGAGGAACGTTTTGTTGTGGAGGTAAATGTTGAATAGGTACCTGGAATAAAGCAATTATTCAAACAATYTTATAATGTACAATTTGTTTACTTGCAAATAATTTATTAATCTATTTACTTGTTGCTGTTGCTGATACAATTGTGGATTCACACCAGGCGGTGCTGGTGCATATTGTGACAATGATTTAAGACACAATACTACAAGAATAGAAAAAGTAACTAAAAGCGTCTTGGAAATCATTTTTAGTAGAAACACTCATGTACACTTTTTAACGCCGAACAACATATAGTATAAATAACGAATGTATTATGTATTTGAGTTATTTTTTTATGTACCTGAAATGTRTCATCGTCATTTGTCACCAACTTATGTAATTTAATCTAACAAATAACAATATCGTTTCAAGCCATGTCATATCATAACAATTAGWATTTATTCAGATAATTTCACTCGGACTGCCAGACGTCATTATCAGTATTCAGTGGTTGGAAGGTGCCCCCAAATCATCGTACACCACGTCCTCAAGTCACTTGTTTCCATGTAAATCGTAAATGTGATACATAATTTTTACTAAATTTTCTCCTATCAATGATTTCCCTACTCTTTTACAAGAACGGATRTTATCACTATAAATGGATGAGTGATAATMAAAACACATGTTCGTTATCATTGTGTATTTCTGTCATCTAAATATAGTATTAATAAATAGTAAATACAACTTACTGATACATAGTTAAAAAGTAAAGAACTTTTTAATGACAATGACAGTGAATGACTATAATCAGTATAATCTCATCGTGCTTCGTGCTATCGTAGTTTTACTCTGAAGATGTCCTCTATGAGCTATAGTTATTGTTAGCTCTATTAAGTGTGAAGTTACAAATATAATTAAATCTTACGACTTACAGTAGTTGAGCAGTAGTGCCGTAGTGGTAGTCAATAGTCAGTAGTGAGTTGTTTTGAATGTTCCCTTGAATATTGAATTCAATTTAAAAACATTAAGTTTTACACACAACAATAAATATTTCATTTCATGTCTTAATATTTGAMTTGTAATTCGTTAATAATGTGATGTAATAATTAGTTTCGTGGATATTAAATGTTTTTAACTATTGTAATTTGTCTTACAAACCATTGACACGTTTATGCGATGGAATTATTTGACTTCACTAATTCTTTCCGGGCTATAATTTACAGTCCTTCTTTTCAGCAATGGATAACATCCACTTACTCTTTCATGCTGTTAACAGAAGTAAGTATCATTCATAATGTTTTATTTAAATATACCATTATTTAAAATACAATGTATTATATTAATTGCCCCTCCTGTGTTATATGTTACTTAGCTGTTAATTATTGTTGAAAATCACAAAGGAATACATTTTTGTAATTATAACGATTTTTGGGCCAGTTTATAATGCAATCCATAACAATTGTCTATAATTACATGTTGTGACACATTTTATGATTTTAAACTATAGTTGCTGGGTACCTAATCTCTTCTGTCTTTGTATTTAACATAATTTAACATTATAGGTATAAGTAGAATGGACTTTTAAAAATGAAATGTATGTAAATAACTATTATTTTATTATTATTMTTGATAATTAGATGAAGAAATACTTGAATAATATTAGGTACAATTTTAAATAATTATGCTAATTAATAATTTGTTAACATTTGTATAATAATTTTGACCCATATTTCTCATTTCATTAACAATAAATACATATATCGTTATACATTTTATTAACTTTAAAATTCTTGAATTAGATTTGTACTTTTGAACTATACTCGTTAAATAACCAACAGTAGCGTATACAGGATTTTAGTTTAGTTTGGTTAAGGTTTTACATGAGTARATAATTTAAATAATAATAAACAATTTAAATAATTTGCCTAACAGTTTTTGTATAATTAGTTATAACAAATTAACAACAATTTATGGACTCTGTGTATTGAAATAGTGGTAAATAAGATTTTTTTGTAAAATGAAAAAATTCCAGCGAGGTTAGAACCCTAAAACACTATGTCACTACCCTCCCGCATATGCCACGTATAATTCAAAATGAGTCACTTGACAGTTTTAATACTTTTCAAGAGAGAAAATATATCAAATGTGTCAAGAATTCAAAAATTTGATGAGAATATATAGTTTTATTCCAAAAATTAAGAATTTAACTGTTCATATTGATGTTTTGTATATAATATATTAAATAAAGCTCAGTCCATGTAATTTAACCCATCTATAAGTACCTACCTATTTAATATATATTTTTTTAATTTTTTTATAATTTAGTGTCACRCCTTTGAGTAGATTTGTAATTAAATGTTATTCAGATTTAACATATAATAAGATGTATTTATACATCTAATTATTTATTATTATTATTTTTTTTTTTTTAAGAACTTGTTGATAATAGTTGCATGCATAATAGCATCAATGGTTTTGAGATTTGCCTTCTACAAATGGAAATCAAAATGTAAGTTATTTGCTAAAAAAATAAAACTGTTATTCAATAATCAATTATTGAATCTTTTGACCAATAATTATTTGTTTACACATTTATATTTATTTATAGTTCATGTGATTCGAAGGAGTGACATCTGTGCCGTTCCGAAAGCAAGGTTTCGAAAACGTGATAGAGTTTTGTTCTATGGCAGAAAAATGTTGAGAAAGGTATATATTTATGATTATGATTGAAGTACCTAAATTAATTTTATGAAACATGGAATAAGTTGTTATAATTTACAGCTTCAAATGATTACTACAATCCACCCGTTAATAAAGATAAATAAATAGCGAAATATACATATAGGACTGTCCTTAGAGGCAGCGCACCCTCGTCTTGAGCTTCCTCACCACAGCTAGTCAGCCCCTACTATTATAAATAAGTACAATAAAAATGTCAAGCTTTTGAGCAAAAAAAAAATGTTTACAAAACATTTATATTTTATACAATATATTATTGTATTTTTTACTACTTACTAACCATGTTTTATTACATTTATCAATTTATTTTATTTGTATTACTAAGTATACAATGTCTATGTCTATTTACTCATTTGTGTAGGTACAAGGTACTTTATTTTTAAAGTCTATTTGTGCCTTTGCCTCTTTATTAAGAGACAACTGGCAATAATAACATTTTAGACCCTGAAATTTTACTCTGCCTTGAGCCTTGTAAATCTTCAGGACAGTCCTATATACATACTTCTTTTCAACGTGTATTTGTACAATTCTTCATAAAAAATACTTGAATTCCTTTTTTCCAACAACAATAATGCATGTTTATTATTTAATTTTCATATTATTTTGTTTAAGGTGAAAAGTATATCTGGACAAGTACACGGCCAGGGAAAAAAAAGAAAATTGGTAATAAAATTTGCTAGGCGTTTACTACAAATGAGAAAAGAAACATTACCTCAGAGATTAAATGTATGTTTTTATTTTATCTTTACTCGGATACAGTATATATAATTTAAAATTAAGATGYAGTAGTAATTAGATAAATTTAAAAAACTTAAAATAATTAAATATTTTTTTCAAGATATTAAAATTGTATATTTTGTTAATCAATCTCAATTGATTTTTCTGTTATAGGTATTGGAACCACCTGCTGAGTATTTAGAGGAGGAATTAATAACTAAAGACGGGCAAAATGTTCCTCCTGATGCTTTTTATATGCTTCAAAGTATTAGGTTAGTTTGTCTTTTTTGTTAAATGTGAATAAATCACTATACCTAATATTTAGATTTTTTATTCAATAGTTTTAATATGTTTTAATTATTTTATTTTATTATTATAACAGAGTTTTTGGCCACTTTGAAAAACCTGTATTTTTAAGACTCTGTCGTCATACTGAAATCTTAAATGTACATGCTGGATCACATTTGTTTAAAGTTGGTGATTCWGATGAAAATGTATTTATTGTCCAAAGTGGTCTTATTAGTGTGAATATCACTTCAATAGATGGCAGTATTATACCTCTGAAATTAGTAAAAACAGGAGATTGTGTTACATCATTATTAAGTTTTACTGATGTTCTCACTGTAAGTAACTATATTAGCTATACAGTCACTCGAGAGAACAGACCCGAGTATTGACTTAAACATGTCAATCTAGCTTTTTTCTCACTGTGATCAGTTGTGTAACAAGGGTTTGAATGAGGATGACAATGTTTTTAAATATTTAACTGTTATTCAATATACATACAATCTATAACTTTGATTTTAATTTACAAAAATATTTTGTATTATGTCTATTTTTATTAATAGATAATAATAATAATAATAATAGCTAATTACATTTGTTTTTAATCAGACCCTCCATATACATCTTGATATTTTAAAAATAGATGAAGCTTTCTATAAATGTTTTTTTGTTCCAAAACCATAAATATTCACTAATAAATATTCCTTTAAAGTTTAATTCGTGCAATAATTTTATATGACTCAAGGTACCACAACTCAAATGTCTAACTCCCAAGCACTTTGGATACACCATTAATACCTCTCTGCTTTGTACTTAGTATCAGTAAGTGATTACATAAATAATTAAAAAAGACCTTATRAGGCCAAGAAGCTCTTTATTTAACTAACACCATGTACAAAACGGGTCTGTTCTCCTATGACATTATGAGAAAAAGTATAATAAATTGTTTATTTAATTTTTATTGAATAAATATGTAACTAGGGGCATAAAAAGAATTATAAAACTGTTAGTGCCCAAGCACTCGAAGATAGTACAATAGTTAGATTACCAGTTGCTGCATTTCAAGAAATCTTTCATGATGATCCAGATTCATTAGTCCAAATAATCCAAGTAGTTATGGTCCGTTTACAGAGAGTTACGTTTACAGCGCTTCATCAGTATCTGGGACTATCATCTGAGTTGGTTCAAAATGTAAGAATAAATAATGGTTCAATTAGATACAAAATGTAATTTGTAGTATTCAGTGTAAGATTCTAAGAGGAGGAATGAATATATTGCTTTTGCTTTTACAATAATGAGCTTTGTTTTAATTTTAAGATTAGATCTAGTTAGTACTTAAAATAATTATAATTATTCATTAACTAGAGTGAATCAACCTATTATAAAACTTGAAAGTAAGAACATTTTTTTTTTTGTATATTTTTATAGGATAGTTAAATTTGTAGTAATTTTTGCAAATATTCATAACTCACATATAAACTACTGAATTATCTTTTTAAAAAAAACATGTATAAACACAACTAACATTCTTAGTATCAAGTTTCATTATAGGTTGATTCACTCTACCTTTTAAACTAATGGACCTAAACGTTGTCTGAACATTATTTATTGTAAATTTGTTATCACTCATTTCTAAAACTGAGATAATATCTGTACCATCCTTTTAAGAATGACACATTTTCAGGAACTTGAAGGGAATCAGTGGCGGAAACTTTCCAAGGAGTTTGAAATAAGAACTTTTATATTTTAACTTTGTATGCAAGCAGATATTGTAAATGTGTGCATGTATAAAGCATGCTATTTAAAAATTGA